TGCTGACCTTGTAGTTCACAGTCCAGTGCTGATCCTACAGGGTCGTACCAGGAGTCACCAGACAGCACCCCTTAAAAATATATGGCCACCTAGAACGTGTGAATGTGACCTTCTTTCATAACAGAATCTTGACAGATGTAATCAAGTTAAAATGAGGATGTACCAGATTAGAATGAGCCCTAAATCCAGTATGAATGGTGTCCTTATAATAAGAGGGAAATCTGGAAACAAAGACCGTGAGGACAGAGGTAGACAATGGAGTTTTGTTGCCACAAGCCAAGGAATGAGAAACATTGCTGGCAACCATCAGAAGCCAAGAGAGAGGCATCAAGAGATTCTGCTCAAGTCTCAAAAAGGAATTAATCTTGACAAAAGCTTGACATAGGATTTCTAGCCTCCTAAACTGTGAAAGAACACATTTTTGTTATCTTAAGATACCTGGTTTGTCATAATTTGCTATGGCAACCTTAGGAAATTAACACACTGCCTGAAGCCGATTTCCAAAGAGCAGTCTTTCCAGTTCAGGGTATGGGCCTGCCTTTTCTTTGTAGAATTAGAGGCACACATCAAAGCTGGCAAAAACAGATGCCTGAGTCCCCCAACACTCAATTGCTTCCATCAGGCTGTTGAATTGAATTTAGTAACCACCTAAGAAGACAAGAAAACTTCACAATATAAGCCAAGATATTTTATTAATTATAATCACAGAAGTCTCCATAAACAGAGGTTAAAATAAAGCATTTAAGACCCACTTTATCTTAGTAACAGCATCAGAGACAGGTCTGTGAGCCAAATGCATACGTGGGAGGTAGACAAATGCTATTTTTGGATGCCTATCCAGTTGGTGAGAGTGTTTGAAATAAAAGGAGCATTAGCCAGCAACATTTGTAGGCAAAGGCCCCAAAGCCAACATATTGCCCAGAAGACATACTGACGCACTACAGAAGATGAAATGCTACAAGATCACAAATTCATTTTTAATTCACAAAAAGGATAAAAACACATAATAATAATAATAGAAAAAGCAAAAGGGTCAGAAAGCAAAGAGACTCTAAGAAAGAACAATCAGTATGGATATTTGGTAAGCTGTGTGCAATCTGGACCTTCTGGCCCACTGAACATTCACACAAAACACCAACAGAGTTTCACTTTAATGAGATTTTTATTTCTATCAACGCAGCCTGGCACTCTTTAGTCATAACCGTTATGTTTTTATCGGTGGGAATCAGGCTGCTCTAGCTATTACCAACCTCGAGAGACCAGAAATCCTAAACAAACGCATTTTGTGGCAACATTCCCAGAGCCACCATATTTTTTACTCCACTTGCTTGAGATTCGGGAACTCTGTTTTAACTGCAGGCAATGAAGATGTTTTAGATGCAGGATGTAATTCAGATCCCCCACCCCCCAACAACAAAAAAAATGCATGGATTTAACAGATAGATGTAGAATGTTCTCAAATTAAGGGGCTGTATTATATGCGATATAACTTTTATAGGGATTAAGAAAGTAAAGAAACAAATTTCCTATTGTGATACCTCATTCTCGTATTATCTTTCAGTCAGATTTCTTTGGGAAAGAAAAAAACAACAAAAACAAAAAGAAGTGGTTGGCAAGAGGGAAGGGAGAAGACAACAATATATGAGGGGGAATTTAAAAGCTTCATGAAAAAATGGAATAAAAAATATTGGAGCATTTCCACAAACTCTTTGAATTCCCTCATATGTAGCAAAATACCAGGGACTCTACTTGGTCTCCCCTCCTCCCTAAAAAAACTTCTCATTTTAACCTGTCTACTACATACGAAATTCCATCATTATTTTGGTCCTTGAGTCACTGCCAACTTAGGGCGACCCCACGTGTTACAAAGCAGAACAGTGCTCCAGAAGGTTTTCAACAGCTGCAATCTTACATAATGGAGTCCTGGTGTGGCACTGTAGGATAACCACAAGGTCAGTGATTCAAACCCACTAGCCGCTTCAAGAAATCCTACACAGGGATATGATGAATCAGAACTGACTCGGTGGTACTTAACAACCACTTACATACTAGATCACCAGGCCTTTTCTTCTGAGGTGCCTCAGACCAGACTTGAACCGCCAACCTTTTCAATACTAATCATGCACAAACCATTTGTTCCAACCGGGAGTCGGAGGGGTGGGGGGAGAAGTGAAAGTCAATGAAAATCATTAAAAGAATTTGGAAATTTGCAAGAGACCAACACTGAAGAAAGATTTTGTTGTTGTTGTTGAGGAGTTAAGTTTTAGGAAAAAGAATGTCTTTACAGCTGAAGGTTTCTTGGCAGGAGCCCAGTAGCAGAGGCTAAAGGTTACCATGCAGGAGGAGAGACCATGGAGAGCCTGGAAAAGCCTCCAACTCTGAATTTGTGCCCAAATGGGGGTCACTGCAGCTCAGTCCAGATGTGGAAATGTCAAGGGGTCTCACTGCAGTTACAGCATTCCAGTTCACTTGTCAGACTGAGAACAAAGAGAAAAGGTAGAAAAGCAGGTGTGGGCGCCTTCACTGTGTGTTTGAATACACACCAGTCCTCTCCAGGATTGGACCTTGACTTTCAGGAGAAATTTTGTTATTGCTTGTTGTTATAAAAGATATTAATGGGCAATTGGTGAAATTTAATAAAATCTATAGATTTGGGAATGAGACTGCTTCATGTTAATTTAGTGATCCTGATTATTACAGTGCCATTATATACAAAAGTATTCTGTTTTTTTAAGGATCTAAATACTACAGTCTTTAAAACTGAAGGAACACCATGACTGCAACTTAACTTTTAAAGTGGTTAAAGCATGATAATATGCTTATATTGCTAAGTGCCATCAAGTCAGTTCTAACTCACAGCGACCCTGTACAGGGTTTCTGAGGAGGGGCTGGTGAGTTTGAACAGCCGACTTTGCAGTTCAAATCAACCTTGACGTCTGGTATTTATCCAACAGTGGCACACCAGGACTCCATAAGTTTATATAGGAAGAGAAAACAATGAAACACATATTATTAACTGTTACCTGTTGGGGCAAAGGTATATGGGAATTTTTTATCCTGTTCTTGCAACTTTCCTGTAAATCTGAAATTATAGTAAACTATCATAAATAGAGGGTCGCTATGGGTCGGATCCGATTTGATGGCACTTAACAACAACAACAACAACAATAGTAAATAGAGCTGCTTTGAAAGAATTGTGATGGCAGCAGACTACATCCCTGATCCCATTTGAGGACCCCAGAACCCACTGGGAGGCCTGCTCTGGATTGAAATTAGAGTCACAGGAGGAGGACAGTGGCTGCTACAGTGCTAAGACTGTCCCTCTAGCCGGACTCTGCCATTCAGTCGATGGCCTTGGGCAAATCACTTCATCTACCTACATCTCAGCATCACATCTGAAGAATGGCTATAACATTAAATACTTTGTGAAGATTTCAGAAAATGTGTAGTAATGCCAAACACTGGCAGAGCCACAGCTCAATAAATGGTGGTTGCCTGCCTCCAAGTCGATTCTAACTCATAGCAGCCCTGTGCAGGGTTTCTGAGGCTCTAAATCTCTACAGGAGCAGAAAGCATCTTTCTCCCTCAGGCGACTGGGAGATTCAAAAGGCTGACCTTGCAGTTAGCAGCCCAGCTCATGAGCCACCATGCTACTAGGGCTCCTTCAATAAATCATGTAGATATTCAGGGAGGAACCCAAAATAGCCCCATATAATCTCCTCTGAAATATAAAGACCACTGCTTACTACTCAGATGTACTTTTTAAAAACCTACCCATATTGCCCTCACTCCCTCATTAATTAACTAATCCCTGGGCAACACAGCTCGGTGAGACGTCTGTTATTCTGTTGATTATAAAACAATGATTTTATATGGCCTGGAAACCTCAAGCTATTTTTTACCTTTATTACTAAATTCATTCTTCACTAACAACTTCACTGGAGTCCTGGTATGGAGCTGTAGGATAAGCAGTGGACTGTTAACCACAGGGTTGACAGTGTGAACACACCAGCCACTCCTTGGAAACCCTATACTATACAGGGTCACTATGAGTTGGAATTGACTGAAAAGCATTTAACAACACCATCTTCTTGGAGTCCTGGTGTGGCTTTAGGATATACACTGGACTGCTAACCATAAGATCAGTGGTTTAAACACACCAGATGCTCCTCGGAAACCCTGTACATGGTCGCTATGCGTTGGACTGACTGGAAAGCACTTAACAACAACAACAATCTTATCTTTTTATTGAGTAAATCCGCCTCCAGGAGGGTTGTGATATTGTCAGGGAACATATTACTATCTCTGATGTACTGTACTGATACCACTGGTTGCTGCTGTGTGCCACAGAGTTGGTTCTGACTCACAGTGATCCTATATAGGCTTTCCAAAGTTGTAAATCCTTATGAAAGCAGAAAGCCTCATCGCTGTCCTACAATGCATTGATAAACCACCTTAATTACTTCTGGTATGTGTTCCAGAGAAATCCTCAGAAGATCCATCAGGGAACATGTAGGAGATTGCTCACTGCAATGAGATCAGTGGAGCAAAGAGTTGGAGGCAATGTGGGTATTCGTCATTGGAAAGCAGTGGGGTACAACCTGGTGGACTCATGCCATGGAGTCTACACAGTTAGGAGTAATGGACCAGAAAGTACACAGCACTGGATCTCACAAATGTAATGCTGAGTGAACAAGTAACCAATGGAATGAAATCTACAACTTAATGACAGCAAGTCTGAAACGAGTCCCATGGTATTCATCTAAACATGTCAGTTAAATTTATAATTTGTCAAAGAAAAACATATGCCAGAATGCGAAGGGAAGAAGGGAGTAGTGGATGGCAAGGCACTTAGATACAAGGATAGGTGACTAGACAGTGGATGCCCTGACTGGTGTACAGGAGGAAGGCAACAGGAAACACACACACACACACAGACACACACACACACACGTGTGCACATACACCAGACGGGATTCATTCCAAGCACCACAGCTTACCGGAGGCCCCTGGCCTGTGGCTGGGCTGGCCCACCTGGTGCACACTCTGCTGTAGTAAGTTGAGGCATTCCCCAAGGCAACTGAGGGTGGCAGCAGAGGTAGCTTTCAGGAGCAGTAGATCCTGGTCCAAGGCAGTGAGGGGACCAGAACCTGGGAGGGACTCAATGGCATGCACAAGATTCTTCTGCTGTCCTTCTACCTGGTTCATCATCTATAAAAACAGAGAAGATAGCAATGAAGTGAATGTCAGAAGTCTTTATTTCAACAGTTGGAGCCAGCATTTAAACCATGGAACTGATGAAAGTGGTGTGAGAAACAGTCATTACCCAGCCAAGTGAGCCGAGTGTCAGCTAACAGTGTGTTTAATGCCCACTGACAAGATGCAGTCCCAGGTAAAATCTGTCCAGGTAAATTGACCCAAACCACTTCCACCAACTACACACATCCACAATTCTAATCAAAAGAGAATCTTAGAACATGAGAGCCGAGAGTGCATGGTTTTACACAGCTTCAGAAGGTTTGTCAATAATAGGCACATTAAAGGCCAAAGTCCTTTTTCTAAGTTCTTTTACTATGGAAGGTTATCAGAGACAGTAGTGACGCCATTGTCTTTGTTCCTGAGCAAATTTAATTCTTTACTTTCTGACTCCAATTCTCAATTCCGTGGCAGTCAGTCCTATTCAAAGTTGGAGAAATGGAAGTGAAATCTGGGGCTGGAATTTCTAGCAGTGAGATCACAATGAAGCCAGTGCAGAACCATCTAACCTCCCTCCAAAACCCCAAAATATCCCCCCAAATAGAATCAGGCTTTCCTAACACTGTAAAAGAAGGAGCTCTGGTAGCGTAGTGGTTATGAATCGGGCTGCTAATCTCAAGGTCAGCAGTTCGAAACTACCAGCTTTTCCATAGAAGAAAGATGAGGCTTTCTGCTCCTGTAAAGATTTACAGCCTCGGAAACCCTATGCAGGGTGGCTGTGAGTCTGAACTGACTCCATGCCACATAACCACCACAACCACCACCACTATATAAGATGTCAGAAAGAAGGAGGAAAAACATATAAATTTTAGAACTAGACCTGACTTAACGCTAAGGCAAACCAAGATAACCAAATTTTGTGGCTGGCTTCAACTCAAAATTTATAGGCAAGTCATAGCCTAATTACATCTTTAACTTTGCAAATCAAGGAGGAAAGAACTCAGAGCTAGAAAAGGACTTTAAATGGTTATCTTGTGAAGTCATCCCCCTTCATGTTTTACAAATTATCTTATTAAACAAAATGATGTACAAAGTGCTTAGCACCATGTTTAACAAACAAACAGTCACTTTGGGGCAGGGGGAACTGAAGAAAGCAAGCTGCCCAAAGTCAAAGAGCTGATCAGCATCAGAAGCAGAATCAAAACCAGAGTTCTTTGGGCTCTGGTCTACTGTTCTTCAAGCTCCCCTCACAAAGCCATCCTTAATTTGAAGCACCGTCAGTCTTCTGCTTTGGCACTGTCATACCTGGAGCATCCTTGTCAACATCATGATGTTGTCAGCTGGGGAGAAGAATGATTTCTGACTTGGACACAAAAACTCACATTCCGTGACCAGACTTACTTATCTACTTCCTTTCAAAAACAAATACTTCCTATCTTCTATCATGCTATGTCATCTCTGAAAAATAAAACATTAATTCATTGCAATTCTACTTACCAAAACTGGTGCCATTATTTCAGAATGATTTAAAAAATCAATGTTGAGTGGACATGTTGCACAAACATGGTTTGGAGAGTTCTCGCTGTTAACATATACATTCATCATTTGGTCACTTAGGTGGACTTTTGCAAATCACAGAGATTATACCTAACTATTCCAACTCCTAAAACAATGCCTGCTGCACAAGAGAGGTTCAAGAAATATTCATTCTCCTTCAGGCCTTTGCTTAAAAGTTACCTTCTCAAGAAAATTTCCCGGAAACACCTAATTTACAATTTGCATCTCCAGTCAATCTTATTTTTCTCCATAGCAGTTACCACCTTCCAGGCTACCTCGTCATTTCATTATGTTCATTTATGCTAGTGTGTAAGCTGCACAAGAGCAGGGACCTCCCTGTGTTGTTCACAGATTTATCCCAAGTACCATAAGTATCTGCTGCATGAATGAATGAATCCCTATCATCACTCTTCTCTCATTGGAAGTGTGAGAGGACCCATTTATGACACAAATTCTGCAGAAACCATTTGCCCAAACAGGTTATTACTCACTTAGTATACTATGACTGGAGATCTAGTAAAGGAGCATGCCTCAATGATCTGTTTGGTTGTCAGAAAATACAGCCAACCGGTTAAATTTAGCTGCAAGCAAAATAAAAGGTTTCAATATTCTTGGATAGTCAAGTGTAAGTAGAGCTGTTTCAGAACAAAGTGGAGTTCGGGCTGTTTGCAGTAGTCAGCATTTCTGTAAATTCTTACCATAAAACCATTTCTTACAAAAATGATACATTAACAGCAGGAAAAAAAATATGAAGAGTATCATAATGTTTTTTACAATTGAGGATGATGCTATAACACTTAAAAAAAAAGGTGAGTAGAATCAAGCTATTAGCTATATGGGATATGTTTTTGTTTTTAAATTCAGCAAAAAGAAATAACTATGCTCCAATTATAGACTAAATACTTGTTTTTCACAAACATAAAATACTATATAAATCTTATGTAATAAAAACATGAAATTGGTTTACAGAATCTTCCACTCTATTACAAGAGAGGTACGTGCCCAGAGATAGAATCCATACATCTGTTCTGCAAGAATTCAACAGTATTTATTGAAAGCCAATTGAAAGCCTATTTAAAAAGCACAGAGCTGCTTTTTAAATAGGACATTTGGAAATGGAATGGGAAGGATTTGGCAGCCACCATGACTGGCAAGGGCTACTGGCATCTGATGGGTAGGAACTGTAGTTAGCTGCCCCTGACTGTGGTGACCATGGGGTTATAGACTCGAACAGCTCTATAGGGTTTCTAGGTTGTCATCTTTTTTTGTTAAACTCAATTTTGTTGGCTATTGAGAATATGCACAGCTAAACATATACCAATTCCAGCCTTTTTACATATGCCATCCAGGGGCATTGGTTACAGTCTTTGAGCTGTGCAACTATTCCCACCCTCCTTTTCTGAGTCTATTAACATAAACCCACTGCCCTCTAAGGATCCTGTCTTTCTAGTTGCTGTTGTCAATTTGATTCTACATAGGTAGATCTTTAAAGAGCATAAGGCTCAGGGCAGTCATTTTTTACTAGTTAAAATAGACTACGATTTGTTGTCTATTGGAATCCTGGTGTGGCGCTGTAGGATAAGCACTGGAATGCAAAGTCAGCAATTCAAACACACCAGCCTATCCTAGGAAACCAGATATAATAGGGTCGCTAAGGAGCTCAGGTAGTGTCGTGGTTACGAATTGGGCTGCGAATCTCAAGGTCAGCAGTTTGAAACTACCAGCTGTTCCGCAGGAGAAAGATGAGGCTTTCTGCTCCCGTAAAAATTTACAGCCTTGGAAACCCTGTACAGGACTACACGGCACATAATCATCACAACCACGAGTTGAAACTGAGTCGATGGCACACAACAATAAAAACAACGCTGTATATATATATATTTTTTACACCAATTCATAGATATACAACTTATTAACAATTACAATAATCGGCTGTGCAAGCCTACTCTTAATCAATGCAATTGCTCCATCATTATTAACAGCCTTCCTCCTTTTTCCCCCCCTCTCCCCCATCCATGGACACCCCTAATAAACTTTAATTCTCTACATGTTTGCCTTTTCCTGTCCTTCTATGTAAGTGAGGTCATGCAATATTTGTCCAACTGTGACTGACTTATTTCATTCAGCATAGTATCTTCAAGCTCCATCTGTACTGTAACCATGTATCAAGACTCTGATTCTCCATATCAAGACAGAAGACTCCGTTTCTCCTATTGACTGAGTAGTACACCATTACATGTACGTATGCACCACCTCTTATTTATCCATTCATCTGCTGACGAGATTTGGCTATTGTGAATAGTAGTGCTGCAATGACCTTAAGTGTACAAGTCTTTATTTGAGTTTCTGCTTTCAAGTCTTTTGGGTATATATGCCTAGAAGTGGGAATCCTGGGTCATAAAGAAGAAGATCAGTGGAAAAGAGGAAGACACTCAGGGAGATGGACTGACACCGTGGCAGCAATAATGGGATCAAACATAGGTACAATTGTGAGGACAGAACAGTACCAGGGCAAGGTTTCGTTCTGCTGTGCATACCATTGCTATGAGTTGGAACCAACTTGACAGCACCTAACAACAACAACAACAACAACAACGTCTTTCTATGTATTTGGTGACCATTTCAATGCTGTCTCTGGTGATACTCTACTTAAATTCTTTGCACATTCTATGATAGGATTGTTTATCTTGTTTTTAAAGTGTTCAAAGTTTATAAATATCTTAGTTATTAGATACTTATAGGACATATGGATTCCATAGATATTTTCACTGTTTGATTTTAAGAAGACTTTAGGGGATATTTTGGTTTAAGGTTTAAAGATTTTCTCAGGGCAACAGTTTCAGGGGTTCACCTAGCAACAATGGTTCCAGAAAAATCTAGATTCCATGAGAATTTGAAATTCTGTTTTGCATGTTCCTTTCTGATCAGGATTCTTCTACAGAATCTTTGATCAAAATATTCAGTAATAGGACTTCCATGGCAAGGAGGAGGAGTAGACTGATGCACTGAGCAGGTATCTCTGTAACAAAGACATGGGAGACCAAGTGGAATAGCTATAGATGGAGATCCTGGAAGCCCAAACTTCAAAGGATAGAACAGAGAGATGATTGCGTGCCATCTGGAAAAGGAAACTGAGTAGGAGAAGCAACAGAGAAGAAAAACAAGTGGGCTATAACTGACCTGGAGCAGCATGGTCAACTTGAGCTTTTGAGAGTGGCTATCAATACAGTGGCCTCAGAGCAGTATGCCAACCCCGTGGTACACCCTCCTGTGCAGCCTTAGTTCTGCCTAAGGTCAGAATCACCCTGAACTACGCTACACAAACACTGAACAGAGAATTATGTTTATACTCCGGGTCTCTAATCTCATCTGCCAGGAAGCAGGTGGTGAGTATCTGAGAACACACCAATATAAAAGACCAGTTACACAGAAACATGGCTTCACAATGTCTTGGAGAA